TCACACACACACACACACACACCATCATTTTTTGCGGCAGCGGTCGCAACGCCACAAAAACCATGTGCTTGAAATCCGAATTTCCGGCGCAAGGGCATGACGGAAAGATGCATGCCGCTCATGAGGGCATATCAGGCAGGTACCGGTGACATGGGACTGGTCGTCCAGTAAGGGCACTGTGGAAAGCTGCGCCGCTTGCTTACAGGGGCATGCAGGAAAGTTCAGAGGCGCCAGGGGCACGATAGGGTAGGTGGTCTGTCGGAGGGGCGCAGCACAAAATAATGGAAATTACAGGGGCGCCAGACGAATTTTCCCTTAAACCACCAGTACTTGGCGCAGCTATCGGCCGCAGAAAAAAATAGAGTCGAAATGGTCGGATGAATTTGGGCGCTCCTGTAATAGCCCGTAAGTTTCCTAAAATTGTGGCGCGTTAACGGACAAAACTCTAGGAAGTACTGGTGCTTAAAAAAAAATGAAAAAGTTAGGCTACCAGCCGGGCCGCCCGGGTCACCCTATTTTCCCAGACGGCCTGGCCGTGCGAGGACCAGGGAGAGCAAGTGACCCGGGCGACTCTGGTAGCCTAGTAAAAAAGTTAGAAAAACATAAAAACCAAAAAAACAAAGGCATACATGCACAGACACCCTCACACACACACATACACACACACACACACACACACACATACACACACACACACGCACACACACACACACACAAACACACGCACACACGCATGAATACACAGCAGTTTCTGGTGATGACCGGACACCTCCTCTCCACTAGAATAGCTGGTCCACCTGTGCCCGGCGTCTTGGGTAGTGACCCTAGCACACTCAGAGGTGGAGACATTCTTTGTACCGGCCGGGCCATCACTTAGAAAACTCTGTGGCGAGGGCTTTCCTGCCAGGGATATCGGCATCTTCCCCGTGCTGAGCCAACGGGCCCAAAACCCTGGACCATGGTTTTCCCCTCGTTGCATTTATCCTCCTTGTTGATCCTTTCTTATGACCCTTGATCTTCCCTTTTGAGCCTGGCTCCTTCCTGAAAAAAAGTACTTTTGAGTTCCAGTAAGTTCATTAATGATGCAAGTAACACTGTGCGAGAATCAGGAAAGGGTCTCAAATGGGGATATCTGTGCGGGTGGCGTGGCATGAACCACATCTCTTCCTTGTGATCCTCTTACCAATATCGTCCGCTGGTTAGAAGAAGAGCACCGTGCTGTCTGCCCAGAGGATGACAGTACTGCACCTGGAGTGAACATCGAAGTCCTGTCTATGGCATTCATGGGAGGAAGACTACAACTGCAGCCTGCTCCCCAAAACCCCTTGCCTGACCTGGACCCACGTCCGTGCATACATCTTGCATAGTCCAGGTCATTTCAGTGCTGTCACCCTTGCGAATAATTCATGGGTCTTATGGGAAAATGGAAGTAGGGTGCACACGGTGCGAAGTATGAACTCTTTCTACAACCAAGCAGCAAATTCTCACTCCATCTGGTTTGTCCGTAAGCACTTGCAAGCGCAACAGCCTCCGGAGAGCAGCCGGGCTGACCCCCCCCCCCCCCCCCCCCCCCCCCCCCCCCCCCCCCCCCCCCCCC